CTAAGAATATTTGAGTCTTGTATCAATAACCTTAAACAATAACAAAGTTTGTTATTGGAGTAACAGTGTTAAGTGTTTTTGCTACTATGTGTCCTGTTCTTGCACGGTTGTTTGTAACACTAGTGAGTCACTCGTGTCAAAGCTGCTGATGGATTTATTCGGTTGGTGCGCCACAGATGAAGCTGATTCCTGTCTGGGAAGAAAAAGATTTAGAGGATTTTGGGAGATCAGTTTGTGGTTTCAAATTTCCCTCAGGCATAGATGTTAGCGAGAGCGGCTCTGTGTGTGAGCCCTGTGATGGACTGGCGAGCTGCCCAGGGTGTACGCCACCTCTCTCACACCTTGTGTTTTACTGCCATCAACCTTTCACTGGGTTGTGCTTTTTTCAGAGTAGATTCACGCACCGCTTAGAAAGATGTTCTTTAGATCTTTCAGACGTGACTCATGTTTGTGAGTCTCTGCGCCGTGCTTGTCAAACCTGACAACCTGCCCTCATGGTGCCTCTGAGTGACAACACTGCCAGACTGCCTCACACACCTCCCGCCCCTGTTTGAGCTGAGCACGCTGGGACATGTAACATTCAAAAAAAAAAAAGGAAAAAAGAAAAACAACTTGTGAATCTGAAAGAAAGAAGAGAAATGATGCATGTAGAGCACAGTGGGGCGTATTACGCATGCAGCAGGTTGTTGTTTTTGGTCTTTTTCTTCTTCTTTCTTTTCTCCACACAATAACTACCGCACTCCCATCGGAGTTCGATGTCTTTTTGTGTAACTCAGGCTCAGTTTCACTCCAGGTAGTGTGACTTTGTACGATCTGATAAGTGAAGTAAAAGAAGTGTTTTTATATGCCTTCTCCTCCCTCCTGTGTCTGGAAATTGGATTCTTTTGGTCAACCACAGTCAGCAAGTAGACACAAGTTAAACGTCGCTCTCGGTTTAATGTGAGACAGTTTTCTAACCACAAGCTCTTAAAAGTCAAACTCTGAAGATGCTCGAACCTGTCGTAAACAGAAACACTTCAGTTTTATCTGTTTGTCTGCAATCAGTCAGAGCTCTTTTGAGCCAACCATCCCTTTAACGTTAACTAGTGATGACTTCATGAACTTCTTCACAAATAAAATTTTTATCATTAGAGAAAA